TTTTAATTCACTATTCTATACAAATATCTTCTGTAAGTAAATGCCATTTAAAAAGAGATTTGTTTTGATTTTCTTATGACAAGGGAAATTATACACACTCTACTGCCTACGTTAACTACGACGGATAGGGGCATAGTCGGCTTAACAAACTTTGCACAGTGTCAAAACAGTTTCATAGTCATTCACCTAAATATCCAATTCTCTACGGTTATCCGGTGCAAATTCTCTAAAAATTTTGATGGAAATATTTCATAACAACATTGGACAGGTCAATGTTTGACGAAGCAGTACAACAAAACACAAACTCTATAACATGTCTTACAACAAAGTTACCGTCACTCTCGCGCCAGAAATCATTAAGAAACCCAAATAGCCTTTTGATCGTTGCCCGTTTAGATCTCCTAACAGTACTCCAGTTTGATACCCTTCGGTCGCTTACCCGCTTCCCGGCTACTTTTTTTCTTTATAATCACTTCCCGTTTACAAGAAGATATGGAACAATTTTCTCTCATAAGAAACATGAAAAATATTTTGAATGGACAACGCTTGCCACAGCCTGTGCAAAAAGGTCTCGACATATGATTGTTGGGCAGAACATCGATTGCGCGATTACCAGCGTAGGTCAACGATAAACCTGGCTTCATGTACAAGTCTCTCCCAAGCAGACACTCAATGTGTAGGGTGACACAACAGTACTCATAGCACATATAAAAACGCTCCTTCGGATTTAGTTCTCCTTCGCAAACTTCACACCAATAAGCCATGGTACTTGTCTCATCCCCATAAGAAAGAGTGAGCATATGCTTATCATGCATATACCTCACCTTTTGAGGTAAAGTAGCACATTCGAAACACAAAGAAAAGTCGCACTCAATGCAATTGAATGTTTCTTTTGGGGCAGACATTTTTAAATTTCTGGAAGAACTTTTTGAATTGTAGCAAACCCCACACGTCCTTTGTTCTCCTGGTTTAGATGTTAGGAATAAAGGATGCATATGACTTTCATGATCTAGTGGTTCACAAATTGTGGCGCACTGCACGTGTAACTTAAAACCACAAAACTGCTCCGAGCACTCATAAAAGAAACCAGTGCAATACCAAGGACAAATTGAACATGAACTCCTAACATGGATGACACTATTATTGGTAACTAGAGTCAGCAGATGTGGATGAATTGGGGTATATATTTTGCAAGGAAGATTTGCACAGGTCTCGTGTAGAATGAACTCACATTGCATGCATGAGTAGAAGTTACCGTTATAGATTGGCGTGATGCAAGCTCGACACAACTGATTATCGTCGTAATCTCTGTCTATGTTATCATCAAGTCTCAAATGATGTTGTTGATGACTGAAATGTTGTATGATTCCATCGCTTATCGTCACGAACGGCTCAA